CACTACCCCGAAACCGCATTCAATCGCGAAATACGAATGAGATAAGAATTCACTTTGCTCATTTTTGAAAGGTCATCTTTCCTGCGTCGAGAAGTGATTTTGCGATTTCATATCAAATAAACAAGGTAAATAATCCAGTATCTTCAAACACATTCTGATATTCGACTGCATGTCGACAAAACAGTTAATATCATTTAATATTTATAAATGTAAAACTCTCAGAAATAATGGTTAAAAAGAACTCTTGAGTTTTAGAAAAAAATTTCTCATTTGAAAAGAAACTTTTACTTTTAAAGGTATCCGACATTTTTTGCAAATTTAATCGGCTATCAAGAACCATTATTTTGGACTTATTTCTGTTAATGGACTTTAATCTTTATTATGTGCACAAAAAAAAAGAATTATATCCTTAAAACGATAATCTGTTCAACGTTCAGATACTGGGACATTTATCTTATTTGCCACTTTTTCATTCGTCCGTAATATTTATGTTCATAAATTTTTGTGTCACATGTGTCAAAACGTAAACAGTCATTTCCTGTACTTTTACTTTCAGGCGAAGTGCTTCTTTTGCAGATACAAACGTCAGCATCAGAAGTATGTATCTTAGTATTTATGAATTATTTTGTAATTATGAAAATTTCAGACAATTGTATTGCATAGACGGTTTATATTCTTGAAATAAACAAATATCATTCGATTTTCAGGGCTCGATCAGCTGCCGTCATTTTGCACACCGCAGCCAAGCTGCAAATGTTTTCAGAACACATCTTGATATTTGCTATTTGGCGGGTCGTTGTTTTCCACATACGGGTTTCTCGCGACGATAAGCGTTACGTTGCGACCATGAATATGGATGCGCAGGATTCGCGATGGCGGCCAATCGATTACCTAACACGTAACAGCATGATGGCTTTCCTCCGAGATGATACGTAATACAGTAAAGACGTAATTGGCCTCGGATTGTATGGCATTTCCATATACCGGAAAATGATGATTTTGATGGAAATTTCTGTGCACGCATCAATATCAAACTTGCATAAATAGCTTGCTATAAATAACGCAAACGTGACCTTTAATTTTCTGTTCAATTTTTGCAATCGAGAATTTTCAAGCACTTGATTCTCCTTCATCGTAAAAGCTTCCTTTTCGACACACAGCTTGCGCGCCTCTGACAAATGGACGCAAATTAAGAACGTGGTCGAAAAGTAAAAAATTGTGAAAAATCTTTTTATTCGATGTACGGTGAGCACGTAGCAATTCAAGTCAATCTCTGTGAGGGAATTCCAATGGCATAATTCCTTTAATGTTACGTCAGCTGTTAATTACGACTTTAACTGATGCATCACCTAGCATATTGATTATTATGATTCATTGATCATACTTCATGTATTTTTCATTTCATAAATACTAAAATACTTATCTCATGCTGGCATTCGAGCACTTGGTGCGACACATATTTTAAAGCTATCGGCGGATGAATGAGATAAAGCAATTTCGTATCCGCGAAGGAGATCTCCAGGATTCCCCCGGGTTTCTGGACTTTGGTACAATACGAGACGAAGTGCAAAAGGCGGTTCGTTGCTCCCGAGATTTCGCGGTATGACATCATAGCGATTTATTCGACGAATCGTGTCTTCGTTAATGAGCGAAACGTTAAAGGTCCGCCTTGCGCAATCGTCAACTACCGACATTGTTAAGCGTGAACGAGTGAGTCATCATCTTGTTATCATCTCCATTGCAATTATTTCAGTAGTTTCTCGCCGCTGCCGCGCGCGTTTCGAGGATTATCTAAGATATCCGGAAACCTGCTTATTAATCTTTCAGAGATAATTATGCACTACGAGCCGTCCAAAGGTGCACGTGTTTCGTCATTTCTTAGTTGAAACAAATTCAGAGAGTCTCAGATGCTTCGCGTTTTATTTCAATGTCTCTCCAATTTTTTAATTCATTTTTATTAAATTTTCTAAAACGTGTGAAAATTCTTAAATAGACGCAATTATGGGAAAGTCAAAAAGAAAAGGGACGTTTTTGAAGGGTTTGGTTCCTTAAATATATCTCTTCACTTTTTGACCGACTCTCGTATCGATTTCTGTGAAGGATCGATAGGTTCAATTTACAAATCTAAAAATTCCGAAAAACTTTAGAATGTCTAAAAAAAAGCTATGTTTTTATATTTAAACAACATGTAGTACTTTAATTTTTTATGTTAACTCGTGACCACTTTGCGTTTTAAGATATAATTTACTTTGCAAAAAAACAAGTTCATCTTACATAAGCATCGTTTTTTTACGTGTCACGATAAGATAAAGTGGTATTCGTTGTTCATTCCTCTTCTCCGCGCCGACAGCAATTTTTAAAGCGCGCACATGACCATATTAAACGTATTGAGAATCTATTCATAATGAGCAAAATAAAATGTCTCCGCGTTCAGAGAATAACAAGATAAAGCGAGACTAACAAGCGAGTGGATTTAATTTTTTTTATTGCGCACACCGTAACGTCTAATCGTCATTCGTGCAAATTCTAATCTCTCTATACTAACTCCAATATCTCCAATATCTATAATAATAACTCCAATATCTTTTCTTCAATAATTCTCTTTATTGCGAAAAGCCTTAAGAATCATCTAAGACGATAATTCCTTCATTGTGTGAGAAAATATTAAAAATGTATTATCAACTTGATTTATAGAATGAAATATGTTTTCGCACCAATATATTGATTTAATATATTGATATCATAGAGATGTGACACGTGATACGCGATACGTGACACGGCGGCACGTGGCGACGGTATTGCTTCCTCGTCGGAGAACAGAGAATGGAAACCGCATCGATACCATCCACTGGAAGTTGCGGAACGTGCTACGAAGCATAACGACCTTGAACTTGGAGCGACTGCCGCGTAGAGAAGCACGATGAATTTCATTAACCATAACGATTACGGCGTTCCGCTTTTGATTGACCGAAATCCGCGAAGTTACGACTCTGACTTTTGTCCGACCTCTCGAAACTCGAGTGCCTTTCGATATAAAATACAACAATCGAATGTTTTCTGTGCTTTAAAACAGTATCAATGTAATAATACAATTTGAGAAATAGAAACATTTTGGAGAGTTTTAAAAATAATGCGCTTCAATGTTAAAAATGAGTTATTTCGCGAAAGTTAAAATATGTAAACAGCGAAAACGCAGCCGGAATAAAGAACGTTGTATGTATAGCAAATTAACTACTGCTTGTTATCGCATATTGATAATACAATTGTTCGCTTATCATGTAGTTCATCGTATTAAATTATATCATGAAATTTTGTGCTTTGTCATGCAAAAAACGCGCCCTATTTCTCGAAAATTTCAGCGACCAATATGGAAACATTATTTAAATCGTGAGTAAAATAAGCGACATTTTCGTCATAAGCAAAGTACCAGGGCTGTTGCAATCACGTGTGAAACCACGCGAGCGCATGTGTGTATGTGTTAGAAACTTGTAAAACTTGTTTTGGGCAGTTGGGTAAGATGATGGAATTAAATGGTAAATAAAATATTTACGCGTGCACAATGTTAAACTGCTTGTGATAAGAGACATCGTGACTCCGAAGATTTAAGAAAACTCAGCCAAAGCGCGACTCAGATAACACGTTATTTCTAATAATTCTGCGACTTTGTAACGGATGACACACGATTAGCGTGAAAAAAAAATGGCGCAAATTCTCGATGAGCAACTGCAGACGTTCGTAATTGTGGCTGTTTGCAGCAGATTATATAATGTGACGTCGGCGCGTAATTACACCAATTTTTTCCACAGATAGCATCTATTAATCACGCCGCGAGCAATCTGTCCGCCGGATCGAAAAATAAATCCGATATCTAGATCAAACAAAACGCTTCGATATTTACAGCTTGTGTTTATAATATATAATTAAATAATATTTATTATTATTATTCATAAATTCTGAAAATATTATTTATTACTCAAATTCGTGTATTATTCGTCAATCAGGTTTGATATTTTTAACCAGCGAAATTTGTTGTTCCATTTAAAAAAAGCTTCACTCGAAAGTATTAAATATAAAAATAGATCCATAAATTGCTTTTGCGTTGTGGATTCTTGTGCAAACAGAAGACAGTAATAAACAAAATTTACAAACAAACGTTGTTTTTCTTTTTAACAGCTCGCGACAAATCAAAAATGAAGTAGACGAGCAAAGAGAATAGATCACACGGTGGAGATTCAATCTCGTGCTCAGATCATTTGCATATCCCATCTGCCGTGTGCGAATGAGTCCCGTAAATGACGTGCGGATGTTTATTTGTCGACAACGTTAGCAGTCGCGAATTGCGCGTAAACTCGCGTAATTGTGTGTAAACGTTCGAGTCGACTGACAATACATATTATTAGCGCGCCGCGTCAATATGCATGTTTTGATGAGCACGATCGGGCTCTTAAGTGAGGTTTCACTTGCAGTTCTTTGAAGTTTTAAAACAATATATTCCTCTTTCCATCGCCCTCTTAATCAATTCCTAATTTTTGTTTTGCATCTACGTATTTTTTTGTCATACTATATCGCTGCTAAGATTATGCAAATCTTAAAATTTGGACATGTTCACATTTATACGCTAAAATATTTTACATTTTATATATATTATTTTTTTTATCGCTATGACGTTAATAAGTTACATTGCGAGCAAAAAATTGTGTGCCATTAATAAATTGCGCGATCTACATACGTGGAAGTCATTAAAATGATCTCGAATATATTCTTGTAAGAACGCTCGTTATATGGCAAACCCGATTTACTCTTCATTTTTCTTATACCGGTGTTTTGCATCGCGTGACGTAGTTTACATAAGTAGCAATCGCCTCTATACTTCGGATCCGACTGAATCCAGAAATGTTTGAGCAGATGTGTGTCCAGTTTTATTTAAAGACATAAATGTACTAATGGAACCAAATTTTATGTTCGGGAATAACATAAAGAAACGAAAGAAAGAAACTTACCGATGCCTTCGACGATATAGCGGTCCTTGGCGTCCATATTTGTTAACTCGGTGACGCTCACAACGATTTTGACACTCATCGTTTGCATCTAAGAATGGGAAGTCGGACGACGGAACGCCGCGACGTCCAGCATCCGGTGTCCTTTGCCGTCGGGAGAACCTGTTTGACAAAACAACGCTGTTTGTTAATTACATCAAATTAGACAAATTACATTAGGAATAAGTTGATTATGGTTCTATCAATTTTCTTTAATAGGCATGTCAAAAGAAGTTATTACAGATAGTCATTTTCCATACTTAATCGCTAATAATGATTCAATTTTATGTTCTTGTTTTCATTAGAAACGTGTTTGACATACAAAGTACGATATATAAATTATAAATTTTTACCTGTTCTACATTTAATGATTTGATTTTAATTTCAACGACGTACACGTGCACAAACAGAGACTCTTAAATTAATGCAAACAAGTTCTCTCTCTTTCTTTCTATAATTAAATATATAAAGGTGCTCCACATGTGACAGATAATCGAACAAAAAAAACAAAGACGATTTTACATGTGAAACAAATGAAAAATGTAACATTTCTTATGTGTGATTTTATTTTCGGCAAAAATAATTCTGAAAGTTAAAAAGTTAGTTTAGATGTGATCACAAGACTAAAATCATTCAGGACGATCGATAACTAACCTGAGACAATCTACGAGCCCAGATGTGTCTACTCCGACGGCAGGATACTCGATCCGCGAATAATTCGAACGACCGAGCCGAGGAAAGAAATACAACGCCGAACACTTTCATGAATAAAGAAAACAACGAGAGCAAAAGTCACGCGCGGTTATACAAAATTATAGACGTGCGCTTCCTCGCGGATATCCTTCTTCGCTTCTCCGAAGGCTGCTCAGACGTGATTGTTGATCCAGAAACTCTGATGAGATACCTCTAACGAGGTGTCTGATGATATCTCGACAGGAAAGGTTCGAGCCTTGAAGTTGAAATATTTTCTTTGAAAATGTCCGACGATATCTTTTTCAACCTTGCTTGCTTTTTCGATATCCTTCTGAGTATTTTCTTCCGAACCTTCTCTCAGGATATGTTTATTCCTTTTCCCTTCGAGCTGCTTCTTGAGTTTTTTAAATCATTTTTTCTCTTGAGAGTATTTTCTTTCTTTTCGTTCACGATGCAATTCAGTTGCATCAGTTGATATCGCAAAAATATTCACGTTTGAATATTTCGGATTATCCCATATATTTCCGACTTGCAACTTTCCGTATTCTCTCGATTCTCGTATATTTTACTTCTTCCTACCGCACTCTTTCATATTCAATCCACCAAATTCAAGTAATTTTTTACCTTGCTCGATCTCTTCCAAGTCTTGCGCCCGTTGAGCAACGGAACGCTTTGCTACTGGCGCTTTTCACTAGACTAGTAGAATCAGCGGTGGCTGCGGCGGTTACGACGACGACGTCTCGTTACGGGCTTGCAGTACGTTTTCCGCAGCCCGTGACCTTGATGAATCCCACCCGACGGTGTTGGTAGCAGCAGCAGCAGCAGCAGCAGCAACAGTAGATTGACATTACGTAAAGCCGAAGTCGCGATGCTTAATTCGACCCTGCGTCGCGACGCCTCGCGGCGCTCGCGCCAACACCTCTTCAAGTGTCATTCTCATCTACCAGCGCTTGTGAAGAACCTTCGCGGAATTCACAAGAATACGAAGCGTTTGTAAATAGGAAATAATCGATTAATCGGGGACCGATTAAAGAGGAGGAAAACTTTAAGCGACAAAAAGTTTCTCGCTAGTTTCCCATTATTCAAATTATTCTTATTATATATTCATCAAAGTTGAAGCAAAAAGAAAAGGAAATTGAGACAAATTGATCATATAAGAGATTTCTGTTGTACAAATATAGATATAGATTTTTTGCAAAGCGTATTGAAAAAAATTCTTTAAATTAGTCTTTTCGCAAGCAATCAATCTTTAATGTTTTTCCTTAAAGCTTTTTTTCTTTCCTCTCTCACATGCTTTCATCGTATAGTCAATACCTCGTTATGAAAAATATTCCTTCAAAACAAGTCTTTAGAGAACATACATGTTGTTCCTTTAAAATAAATATCATTCACTGACAACGGTTTCTTTTATACTGAATTATTTCGCCGTAGACATTTCCTTAATTAATTGTATTTTTTCCGAAGGCTACTTCTGCATAAACACTTCTTTACAATCTTTTCTGTGATCAGAAACACCTTTTCCATTATTTCTCGCACAATGTTCCTCGAGTATCGTTTTTTCTTTTTCAGAAACGAGTCGAGAGAAACTCGTCTCATTAATACCTCAACTCAATATGTTGATATTTGTCTCCCGGAAATTGTTCCGCATTGCAAATCACGTCCTGAATCATTGCGAATAATCATTTCGATTAATAAATTCGACTCTCTTGTCATTCGTTGTATGGAAGAAAACGTGTCATCGTGAATTATTTTACTGTCGTCAGTATCATTAAAAGGTTCATAAATCCGAAGACATTAGCATTAAATCGACTGGCTAATGAATAGCTTGAAATATAGTTTTCAAGAATCGAATTTTCCCTCAAAAATCTACGATTCCTATTGTAAAAATAAATTTTGGCCTCTGTCGTGTGTCAACACAATTTATATCGACAAAAATAATTAACGACAAATAGAAAGATTCGGAAAAATATCAAAGTATAAAAAAACCATTGTAAATCAAATTTTAAGATCCATCTGATAGCAATTTAGATTTCGGGTATATAAGTGTGCGAACATAATCTTGAATTTATTCGCGGCAATAAAATTGCAATTGATTAGAATATTTTTACATACTAAGATTGAAGTGACGAATTATGTCGTTTTCGTTTTGGCGGGCTTACTTCGGCCAGATCTAACAATATCTAGGAAATATTTTCCTAGATCGCCAGTGCAATAAGTATGTTTACGAGATTGCGATCAACCACGTGGTGGATGTGAAATTACAGGTATGACTGGTCTCAAAGTAGCACGGCAATGTGTGCACCGCGTGAGCAGCCTGGACTCGTCAAGAAAACAATGCGCATCTTCCCGCGATGCAGCATGATTGATCGATTCCTGATCCACTTTCGGAACTTCGGAAATTGAGCGCTTCGATCGGCAAACTTTTATAATGCGAAAAGGCTCGATAATTTACAACGTATATTAAAACAATCTACAATGGAATTTCAAAATAATGATAAATAATTGATTAAGATCTATCGACGTACATCCTGTGATAAGTGAAGTCTGCCAAAACAAAATCATGCAGCGATTATCACATTCGGCAATCAGATCTGCATTCTCGCGCGAAGTGGCATACTTAAATTCGTCGAAAATCTACTGGAAATTGTATTCGAGATTTCAGCAAAATCTAAAGACTTCAAGAACTCTTTTTCGAAATGAGAATAGTATATAGTGTTTTTATGATATCCGAATTCTTCCACACAACAAACTCTATCTTTCCTCGCTTATTGCTGCGAAATCGTCCCTCACGGTGAATTAAAAGTCCTTTCGCGATTTCGCGAATTTAGAGCACAGTTTTTTTCCGACGACGGTGGAAAAAAAATAAATAAAAAAAAAACGTAGAACGAAAAAAATGAAAAACGAGCGCGACAACCTCGCCGATACCTCACGGTCGATATTTGGCGATAAATGAATCGCGATGAAAAGGAGACCGACAATCGGCGGGCGAGCAACAGGACTCACTGCACGCGACAAGAATCTCGGGAGAACCTGCGACAACCGTATATACGTCAGACTGGCGGAAAGTCAGTCGTTCACCGTCGTAACGACAGGTGTTGTTGGAGAATCTGAGGTGGGGTGGCGGTACACGGGAGTAGGTGGGGATCGCGTGCTGGAAGTGGGGTACAAAACCTTCGCCGAGAGGAGTCGACCTCAGTTATTGCTGTTGTACGCAGCATCTATATGTCATGACGGATCCTTGATATGACTCGAATCTCGAATTATAGGGAGATATTATGTATTAGAGATTGCTGCGAAGAATCAAGAGAATGTCAAAGCTCAGAGAGATTTTCATTTAAAAAAAAACAAAATGTTTTCTTGCGCAACAGTTTTTCGGAGTGTCATCGCTATGCATGAAGTTCGCAACAGTCTCTTGATTTCCCTTTTCAATCTTCGAGATTTTTCGTATTCAAATTTCGCTTTATAATGTACCTATATGAGTAGATTGATATCAACAAGTTACTTATTCATAAAGTCATAATTTATGCACACACGCGCACAAATATATTATATAATGCAAATAAAACATTGAGTGTTCCGAAATATTTGATAAAAATTAATTATTAAAAAATCGTTGCGTAGAACAACAATAACAATTCGATGCTATTGAATTATTGATTTCAATGATGTTATTTGATTCCAAAAATATACTGAGATCATTTAATATACACATAAAACTATGTCAACTTATTGCAGCAAATGGTTGCTTTGCGAGTATTACGTATCACATCAGCTTTTGATGTGACCAACATTTCTATACTATACCGGATACATTTTATTCAGATCTTGATCATTAAAAAATTATTACGCCAAACAATAATACTGAGATTTGACGTGATACTATATCTTTCGATCATTTGCGTGAAATACATCAAATTACATTAACTCTCATGCAGTATCTGCACTGTAAAAAAATTCGTGTCACAGATCCTTGAAAAGATTCTGATCTTCACATATTTCGTACAGACGTATACATTTTAAACTAAGTCTGTTCTTTATAGCTAAATTAGAAGGAGAAAGATGAACTCTGAACTAATGCAGCCAGTTCAGCCATAAAGAACAGACCTATTGTGTGTATTTTCGTTTCTGAAGAAAAGCTTTTCAACAAACTTACACACAAGTATGTAAAAGCACAAAACATGTGGTAATGATCAAAATAGACCGGAAGAGTATCAAGTAGTGCGTATATCACTGACGATATGATTATCAATAATGCAAGACAGTGCAATTGTTAATCGATAATCTTCGATACAGAAATAACGATAAACCTTCATATAAAATAATGATCTATGTGGGAAAAACAATAAGAAATAGCGATAATAAAACAATAATTATAAGTTTGTTGCAAAAAAGAGAATAAGATGATGTTAATTAAATAAAATAAGTAACAAGTTATAAATAAAATTATAAATTTACAAATTAGCAACTTATCATCAGCTCATTGTAATAGCTCCTTTCTACAACAAGCATCTCATGATTATTGCTTTATCAACACTTATGCTATTAATTTCATATATATAAGTAAAACATATAAAATTGATAGTGATAATAAATAACCATGAGCTCGTCGCAAAAGAGCTATTATTATGAATATTTATAAATTGATTTGTGAATAGATTGATATTAACAAGTTATTTATTTATGAATTCCTCATTTATAAACACACACAAATATAATGCTAATAAAACATTGAGGAAATATTTCCAAAGATGTTATTAAAATAAAATCTAGATATTTCATTAAAGCGTGTCCTCAGTATAATGGAAGTTTATATAGTTCAGCTATTATTAAAAAGACTGACTTAAAATGTGTGATATACTGTAATCATTATTCAAATGTATTGCGACATTTATGCATGTTTACACACACAAATATATAGGAAGTATAATCGCGAGGCTAACGCGTTATAACAAGTAAATACAACATGTGATACTTACTTAGGAAATGGAAAACCAGAGATACATTTCTAATGAGTTATGTAATTGCGATATCATTTACAAAAAAAACACAACATTTAAATATTATCAATATTAATATATATAGAAAGGCAATGGCGGAAATATTAAATATAAAACTGTGTATTGCTAAAATGTTTTGGCTTACTCAAAAAATTCAGAGATTTTAATATAATATTTTTATGTGCATTATGCATACATATTTAAATTGTATGTAGATTTATAGTTCCGTTTTTCTTCGATTTTCCATTTTGTGTAGAATAAATGTGCGTATTATATATAAGACTAGATTGTCTAGCCAGAATAAAACATTTTAAAATTTTCAACATTTTTATCACTTTATGTGACAAAAACAAAAGCTTTTTATCTAAAAATCTTTATCTCGATTCATAGAGAAAGTAAATCATTATCAACAAAGATACAAGCAAATATATTTGAATATTTTACTTACTTGCTGAATGGCCGCTCCTTTAGTGCTAACTTTACGCCGAAGGTGTGACGCTAACCGTTATTACAAAATTGAGATCCCATTTCCAAGATTTCGATACAATTGCTGGAGGTTAGATTCTTTGTCAATAAATTTCTCATATAAAAAAATATCAAAACCAAACTGCCCAAGTTTGAGTTCATTTGAAAAACCGCAATATTAACTTTGGTTATAAGGCTGCGACAAAGCCATCTGTCAGTTGAGGCGAATAACGCACGTACAATGACGATCGAACACGCTGAGGTACGTCCCTCTCATCGATTTGATATTTCCGATACTTATTTAGACGCGAAAGCATTTAACTGTCGATTAAAACACATAAAAGCAATACTTTGCATCGCGACGCGACTTGACTCGATAAGACACAGTGTATGATGTGAAGTGCGCGTCGGCACTATGATTGAATTCAGTGACGTAACCGCGTATTTTTGCGCTTTCGCGCCAATCACGCACGTGCGGCCAGCTTGTTCAATTGCGGTATTTTTCATAATCAAATCGTAAAAAAAAGAACAGATAATAAAAATTTGAAAAAACTCGATACCCAAGTTATAAATATTCATAACGATCGGACACACGGTCTGTTTTGCATTCTATGATAAATACATCATAAATGCCGCGCGTGTGTATATTTTCATTAATAAAAATTTTTTATCAATTCAGAAATATCAGAATGCTAGAAATGAGCGAAAATGGTTAAATTTTGTCTTGATACATAAATGCTGTAAAGTTTATTTTTCCTTATCTGTAACATCTTAAATTAAACTGATCACCAACCACCTAAAAAATGCATAAAATATTTTGACTACGTTTTATTTAGGACCACCAATTTTCACTGGTTCTCAGGGAAATATACAAATTTACAAGAATTACCTAACAATCGAACAATCATTTCAACACATTCGAATCAAACAATATAACTACATCCTTGCATTCAATTGCACTGAACTTGTATAATCAATTCGAAGAATCCTAAACACATAAACTTCCCTGTTTAAACTCTATGAATTAAAGTAATAATAACATACCATAAAATATCATTTCTGAAATTACAGGTACATATACCTAGATGTTATGAAGGGTACAATTTTCACAGAAACATATATTACAAAATTACAATAATATATTTACACTTAATTATCTTTCTTCATTCGATTCGACGTCATTCTATAGATAATGGAATCTCGTCCTGGATCCATATCAGCAATGGCGACTGAAAATATTAAAATTTTACTTTCCTGTTCAAGTTTCTTTCAAAGAATAAATTAAACCAAACGTGGAACAACATCAGCAATTTCTGAATCTTCCCATTTGTCAAATTTAATCAAATACCTAGTATCTAAAGCTAATATCTTTGGAAATCTTTGCTACTATCAAATTGTACAGATTAATTCAATCGTTCAAAAAATTTCAAAGACTTCCAATTTGAAATTTCACTCCAAGTGTTTTAGAAATTTCCTCAGAAGTTCAGAATAAACGCTTCCCGATACAAATTCACCTGTTAAAAAGAAAATACGTACTGCAGATGGCTAAAAGCGAGAAGAAGAACACGACGCCGAACCATAGTATTATATTGAAGATGACAGGATAGTTTTCCGTGTAAATTTTTGCGCGATTGGAAAACTCCTCAGGCTGAAACAGAAAGATTGATGTAACGAATATGCAACAACAAGCTCTGAAACCTACAAATTTCAATCCTGGTTTCAGTAATACTTGCTAGATTTACTAACAGCACTCTATATTTCTTGACAGTTTGCAAAAGATTAAAAAATTCAGCATATTCAGTCAAGTGTTAACGCATAAAAATTATTAAGACTTTCATCAAAGTAACATATAAAACGATTTCAAGATCACAATTCGTCAACAAGATCTGGCTCTGATACTTGCTAAAGAATCAATGGGCTAATTAAATATTTCTTAACAAAAACTTTCTATTGAAATGTATTACTTAGAGATTTATTATCATTAAAATATACGCATGCAATCAGATGCTAGAAACTTTCATGCAAAAATTAATCTTGCACTTGAGAAGCATGAGGAGGCAAGTCTGAAATTACCAATAGATAATTATTTCTGACAAATTTACTACACATCATGTTCTATTTAAAATCATAAATCACTAAAACCTTCCTTAAACAGATAAAACAGCTTTTTCGACCTACACCCTTCTGCCTCTCTCAAATACAGAATCAGCAAAATTCAAACTCGCTATCGAAAAACTCGCTAACTAAAAAAATCGCTATTAAGCGTCATTCATATAAGCATCAGTTCACATATAAGCATCAATGGCAGGCCATAATCTTAATGCAAAACAAAAACTTCTATGGTATTTAAGCCAACTCCAATAGTATCTGTCGTCAATTCTGGAATGCTTTGTAAAAATGCTAATTTAATTCATCTCCTTAGAGAACAGGTGCTCTAATATTCGGCAGAACGAAAACAATTGATGAGTCCAAAGAAGAATTTGACAAATCATATTCTGTTATTTTTTTTCGACGCGATTTGAAACATGGAAGCTTTATTATTTAATATGTATTTGGTAAAATTAATCAATTTTATCAAAATATTTGACTGCGTAATATTCTAAGCTATACAGTAGTTTAACTTTCTTGTAATTTTTCTCTGCAAATTTATTTATCAAGCTTGCTCGGCGTCCTTGCAAAATTTGCTTTCTCTCTCGACGTATGATAAATTATCAGGAACCTTAAAGAATAGCAAAAGAAATTGAAAAACAAAGACTCGTCTGGTTTTTCTCTGAACCCTTCGATTGCATTGCATGTTAATATGTTTGCGATACCTGTCCTATTGTCTGTGTGTTAGTATTTATCTTAGATTCAGTTTGCTCAGTAGTGCTTTCAGTAGTGCTGTAGGCAGAGATGGACTCGCTAGTACTACTCATACTATTTATCTCCTCTTCGTCCTTTACTTTATTTTGTCCGTCTCGCTCGCCGTCTCGCTATAATCAATGTTGTTCAGTATCTCAGTAAAGTGATTAAAGCACCAGCCTTCAAGGCTCCGAGAATACTGGAACTTCAAGGACTTCGCTTTGCGAATCCTTAGATTTATCCTTCGATACCAAACTTGATAACTTATTAATTTTTAACATTTCAAGGATTTGGTTGTGGCAAATATTTCAATTTGATCATACGTTAAGCTCAGAATTTCATCAGATCTAAGAACATCCAAATTTCAAGGGTCATATTTGCGACAATCTAAATTCTCCGATACAAATCTCAACAAAGATATTGCGTTAAGAATTTGATTTGGTAAATATTGAAAATTATCGATATCAAGCTTTGATTATTTGCTAAATTTCGTTTGTTTCCGATAAAAATTTCGCAGAAAATAACAAATAAATACGTAGATATCGACCGGTTGATGGCAGGTTTGTAAGTTGATTAGAGTAATTAAAGAGTATAATTCATCGTGTTCGCGCGAAACTCATGCAGAAAGCTATCTCTAAGGATCGGAAAAAAACACTCTCAATCAAGTAAGAGCTCATGCAATGCGATTCGACACGGTACCTTGACCAAAAAATTATCGTTAATGTCTGAACTAATTGGCGTTCCCTTGTCTCTACCAGTGGATTTAACATTGTTAGTCTTATAAGCCTACAAAAGTCCGTAACAATTAAAAGTAGTACAGTTATAAAGAATAGTTTTGTTTTCAATAATAATTGAAATATTTAAAGTATTAAATATTGCTATAAAATTAATTTGATATCATTAATCTTTTCCATTATTTCCGCATAGAAAAATGACGAGATTTAGTCAATTAACATCTGAGTGAGAAACATATTTATTTGGAAAATTGTCGGAATTATTGAAGTTTTGTGTATAACCGAAATATGTATGATCGATATAAAATAATGAATAATTTGAGATTATAAATTATTTTTCCCTTTGCATAATAATAAATAAAAAAGAAATATATGTATAAGTCGGTGAAGTTTTATAATTGCATATTCTCATTGCTGTAACACATTTTATTGTCATTTTGATAATAAAATAATGCGTAGCCTTTCCAAAGTTACAGGAGATCATTTAGAGTTTTTTTAAACAAATCTCCTATTTTTATTACGCCTTTATATACGTTATATTAAAAATCGAGTTAGAATTAAATAAGTCATCTTGTATAGATGGAATATTTAATGCAAATGCCATATATATGATGATTTTTATATCGCAGATTCCTTAAATTCATTTTCAAATGCTCTTCAATCAACATCCTCAAATATTTTCCATTATAATTTAATGTTTGAAACATAGTAGAGATTGCAAAATGCGAAAATTCAAGATAATACTGCGTAATACTCACCGTGTCTCTACGTTGCCTCTCATAAAGAACAGAGCGGGTGTTTCTCATCTTGCTGGCGTCATTCGTGAATGCCACAATAACAACCTAAAATGAGATTTAAAGATAAATAAAATCAGCAATCAAAAATAAAATAAAAGCAAAGAATGCAAATTTAATATCAGTCCTTTGCTATAATCTATCAGTTACCTTGCCATCATAAGTGTTGACAAAAGCATTAGAGACACGTTCCATCGCGTCATTTAGTAGCGTATAAGACTCATTCGCCGCTGCAGAAGTATTTCCGTGAAAATCCATAACTGACTTGAGCGCCGATACTACTAGCCAATAAATATCTGTGCCACACTCGTGTTTCTTCGCAGAGGCTTTGTCAGCTATAGCATGGAGAAGTTGGATCTCTTCGATAAATTTGCGATCTTCTTCAACATCAGAATTCAGAGCTTTCAATTTCCCCATGTTGGCTAGCTTGAGTTCGCCGAGAGCCGATTGACCTAACTATAACAAAAAAATGTTATTTAGATTGTTTTATAGTTGATAAAAAAATTAAAATAATTATGTAAACAAAATAAAAATATCGATTACAAAATCTTTGCAGACTGCATACAAAATATTGTTAATTTCATAATCTTATATTAATAAAATTTATCTTTTATTAATTTTTAGAAAAACCGCGAGATGTTATGTCTTGAGAAACAAGTTAGATATTAAACGTATATTGGATTGTACAAACTTTTTTAGTTTTTTAAATTTTATTTACACAGAAAAAAACTTAAAATACCCAATATATTGTTTTCTAAAACAAATCTTCATAATTTAAAAAAATCCTGCAATTTTCTGAAAATGAAATAACAATATATTTATGTATATAATCTTAATATCTATATTTGTTTTATATTTTGTTACATTTGATTATTTTAATACTTACAGCATCAACTCCATCGCTCAAGTTAATTCTGATCAATGTATTATCGTTACTTCGCTCCTCTATTCTGCTCCGAATTGCTTGCCAAGTGGTTTCTTCTACTTCATCAACAATCAGAGGATATGTAGTTTTATCCTTTAAGAAAGGCATAAACTCTATTCCATCAATTGGTATAGCAACTAATGCTTTAGGCATTGAAAATGGATCCCATACAGCAATGCTGTGTTCTGTGTCCTTCTGTAAAATTATAAACATTTTACAAATTAATTAATTTAGATAATATAGACACAGTTTTCAAAATATCAAGAGAGACAGTTTTATCTTGTGTCAAATTCATAGATGACTAAGCTAATCCTGTATTTATCCAAAATAAAATTATAGTAAGGTATGTAAAATATTTAATTTTCATATTCATGCAATATTGCAAAAATCTAAAGCTTTACAACGATAGAAATACTCTTAACATTTTGTAGTATTAAAAATGTTCAATTAAATTATTCTATTAAAAAATGAAAGATAACACACCTGTTTTCCAGTGAAACCAAGAGCCGCGCACATGATCTCTTTGAGACTGCTTTGCTCAATCGGGCCATTTCCAGTGAATTCCACGCTGTCAGGTGAATGAAGAATGACAAATTCGTCGTTGGCATAAACTAGAAATAGACATTTGATTAATCTAAGTACAAAAATCACAACCTAATCACAATCTAAGTGCAATAAGGCAGTTATATTCAGCAAACAAAAATCTATTTTTTACAAGTTAAAATACTGAAAAAGGTCGAGGAAAAGGCTCCATTTTGTTTCAAAATAAATACAGTTTGAAAATTCAGAATAATTTCTAATCTGATTCAAAAAATTCTGGATAATGGATCCAGCAGCCAGAGATTCGAACGTGAAAAGCTTGAAGCATTTTAATCGTCCGTGAAAGAATTGTTCGAGAGTCAAAAAGGAATTACCTGCAGCTAAAGTAGCAAAGAGAAGTAATAATTGTCGACACATCGTGAAGAAACAATCAAATTCAGAAGACACTCCCTCAACTTCGATCAATTTCGGACGCGATCATGTGATCACATCAGATGGCGTACTAATTTACTCTCCCCACCACACATGCGTTGACATAAGCCATGTAATGCGAGATTCACACTGCGTTGTTACCTAACGCACGATATCCGACAACCAATAAGAAACAAATTTGTTTTCTGGGGACTAATATGGACCATTTACCATCAGCCAATCCAATCACTATGTGAGAAATTATCACCAAAAACGTAGCCAATCAAATTTTTAGCTTTGTTGCAGTAATTTGCAAATAATCTAGTAATTTACTAAAAATGCTATGTACTGTATGGTGCATTTCTAGTAGTTTACTAGATTGCATACGAATTGCTGCAACAAGTGGCCCTATAAAAACTACTTGTCACGGTAAATTATCCTGGA